ATGCCTGCGCCATAGATTCCGCTAAATAGGGGTGAGCCAACGAAATGAAATGACAATACTTACTAAAACGGTCCATGATCGTGAGAATGACAGATTTGCCGCCGACATGAGGAAGGGCTTCAATGAAGTCAAGTCCGACGTTGGTCCAAACCTACATCAGCACAGGCAGCGGCAGGAGCAAACCGGCTGAGTAGAGGTGCTCAGACTTATGGCACTGGCACGTGGAGCAGGCGCAGATGTAGTCTTGGACCACCGTGCGAAGCCATGGTGAATGGAAGTCATGGCGCAGACGGTGCAGGGTGTGCTAGACCCCTTCATGTCCATCATTGTGAATGGCGGAGAGGATTTCAACGAGCAGCAGTGATGTAGGCGGGATGTAGAGGCGGCCTTGGAAGGCCACCATGTCGTCGATGAGGGTCCAGGGAGCCACGCGCTGGCCGGCGGTGAGTTTGGCCTTGATGGTGACTAGCACCGGATCCATGTCATGGTCTTGCCGTAGGTGCTCGATGAAGTCGAACATGGTCCCAAGATGGCAAGGACTGCTAGCTCCTCTGTGTTGCGCCTAGACAACACGTCTGCCACTGTATTGATGGTTCCAGCCTTGTATTCCACCGAGAAATTGAAGCCGAGGAGCTTGCCCACCCAGTTGTGTTGTGGAATGGTGGACAAGCACTGATCAAGCAAAATTTTCAGACTATAATGATCAGTCCTTACCAGGAACCGTCATTCCCAAAGTTATTGTCGCCAATGTCAAATGGCGAGGCCGAGGCCGATGAGCTCCCTTTCGTAGGCCGCCAGGGACTGTGATGAGGACATCTCCTGCCCAGATACAACCACATGGGTTGGAGCACGACCCCAACACCCTGGTGGTTGTCCTTCCACCTTCATATACCCCTTAGCCGCCACCAAGAACAGTTGGGTTTTGTTTAGATCAAGTTTAGCCTTTGCTACTTGCTTGTAGGCGCGCGTGCTGATCCAGCCGCCCGTCTCCTTGTCTTCGGAACCCCACTCATCATAAGATTCAGTTTGAGGCTTTCAATTTCATCTTGCAAATTCAGTGCTTGTTTCCTTGTTCTTGCTAGTTCTTCGATTGCTTGCAGGACGGGAGCCCTAGTGGCTGGTTGTCGCGCTCCACAAGATCGTGACGGCCTTTGGAGGTGGTGTATCGGTTGCTAAGGCGCGGTCTTGGAAGGTTGTAGTCGGGCCGTGAACGTCATCTCCATCCACCAAATCGAGTGATCTCACGCCTCTCATCGAAAGATCATCCATAAACCCTAGCGGGTTCATATCAGACTGGTGGCACGATGCCACGGGCCGGCTGAAGAAGGCCATAGGGTGCTGGCCTTGGAGCAGCACCGTGCCCATAAGTGGAGGCATCACACTCGACGATGAAGGGTTTGGCAAAGTCGGGGAGCACGAGGATAGGCGCTGTAGTGACTGTTGTCTTGAGAGCAGCGAACGCAGCGCTGGCCGCCTCTGTCTAGGCGAAACCCTCCTTCTTGGGCAGGGCGGTCAGGGGCGCAGCGATCATGCCGAACTCCTTGACGAACTTGAGGTAATACCCCGCCAAGCCTAGGAATCCCTGGATTGCCCGTGCGGAGCGAGGTTGGGGCTAGTCCGCCACCGCCTGGACCTTGTCGGGATCCATGGCCACCCCTGCAACAGAGATGACATGCCCCAAATAGGTGATGGAGGTGACGCTGAACGCGCACTTGGAGCGCTTGACGAAGAGCCGGTGCTGGTGGAGTATGGTGAGGATAGCACGCACATGGCGCAAGTGTTCAGCTCATGAGCTGCTGTAGATCAGTATGTCATCGAAGAAGACAAGGACAATGCAGCGTAGGAACGGGCAGAGCACATCATTTATTAGGGTGGTCGGGGCATTGCTAAGCCTGAACGGCATGATGAGGAACTCATAGAGTCCATCATGGGTCTGAAACACCATCTTCTTGAAATCAGCAACGTTCATGCGGACTTGGTGATAGCCCGAATGGAAATCTAGCTTCGAGAAGAAACGGGCGCCCTAGAGCTCATCAAGGAGCTCGTCGACCACCAGAATCGAATACGTGTCCTTGATGGTGATGGCGTTGAGCACACGGTAGTCGACGCAAAAGCTCCATGAACCGTTAGCTTTCTTGATGAGGAGGACTGGGGAGGAGAATGCCGAAGTGCTACGGTGGATCATCCCCTAAGAGAGCATGGTGGCACACTGGCATTCCAGCTCGTCCTTGTGTGCAGCAGGGTAGCGGTAGGGCCGCACTGCCACCGGCCCTGATCCTAGAACAAGGTCGATGCTATGGTCCAGGGAACGCAGAGGGGGCAGCATTGATGGCTCAGTGAAGACGCTGGCAAAGTCATCCAGCAGTGCGCCCATCAGGTCATCACCTGCACATGCCCGCAGAGATGGAGTGGAGGGTCCAGCGATCCCCTTCCAGCAGGCCCGGTGATCCCAGTTCTAGAAAGGCATGGTAAGAGCACCAAAATCCTAGAGGATTGGCCCCAAGGAGGCCAACCACTAGGTGCCGAGCATGATGTCGTAGCCAGCCAGTGGCAGCGCGAAAAAATCGGTGGAGAAAGCCTCACCTACGATGCTGAACTCCATATCGTAGTAGGTTCCTAGGCAGGGCAAGAGTTTGCCGTTGGCAACCGTCACCATCATGTTGCCTCGCTAGAGAGAGGTGCGGCTGGCAGCGTCCTCGGAGACGAAGTTGTGGGTGGAGCCGGAGTCGAGGAGGGCCAGGAGAGTTGCGCCGCCCAGCTGGATGTGGACTTGCATCGTCTCACTGGTGCGGATGCCCACGGTCGCATGTAGTGAGATGAGCGGATCATCAGCGACCTGCTCCCCGGCTCAGCTTCGTCACCTTCTTCGGCTTTGGCGAGGTCGATGAGGAATATGCACTGGCAAACACGGTTGTGAGCCCGACCGAATTTCTCATTGCAGTTGAAGCACAACCCCAAGCGGCGGCGTTCCTCCATCTATGTTTGGGATAGCTTCTTCACCTGCCTACCCTCTACAGAAACTATGGACGGTCGTGCGCCCATTGGTGGAGCAAGGAGGGCAAGGCGGGGAGGTGGCCCGGTCAGTAGGCCACGCGCTAGAGGCAGAGGCGCGGCCACAGCAGCATATTGCTCGTGGAGCTCCAGTTTGTGCACGAGGCTCATGACGATGATGAGGGACTGCGGGTTGTGGAGCTCGACGTCGAGGCTGAGCGGTGCCTGCAGGCCTGCCGTGAAGGCTTGGACAGGTTGTGCCTCCGAGAGTGTGCCTACGCGCGGGAGCAGGGCCTCGAACCAGTCTTGGTACTTCGCAATAGAGCCGGTTCGCTTGTAGGCCAGCAACTCGCCGAGCGGATTGGAGCGGATGGGTGGCCCGAATCTGAGGTTCAGGAGCTCAGCGAAGCGGCACTAGGATGGTGTGCCCTCGTCTTGCTAGACTTGGATGAACCACATCTAGGCGCCTGCCTCTAGGTTGTAAGAGGCCATCCACACCTGCTCCTCGTCGGGGATGCGCTGTTGATGGAAATAGGATTCACAGCAATTGAGGAACGCTAGCGGATCCGATTTGCCATCGAACTTGGGGAAGTCAAGCTTCTGGAAGCGGGGAGGACGATCGCCATGGTGTTCGCCGTTGCCTGATCCCCCGGAACCAGAGAAGGAGGCTGCCGCTGGCCTCTCCTGCTGTAGGGTGGAAACCTGCCCTTGCAAGGCACTGACGGAGGCTGTGAGGGTTTGGATGAGCTTGGCCAATTCGGCCGTGGATGGCTGTGCCATGGGCGAGGAGATGGAGGCAGTAGAGGCAGATGGTGAGACTGGGGTGGCAGTGGAAGGCGTGATGGCTGCTGGTGGTGGCGCAGGGGCAGAGGAGGCTCTCCTGGAACCCGATACCAGGTTGTCAAGGGCGTTGGCACCCAAGGTAGGAGGTCCCTGGCTTCTTAGTTCATAGTCAGGGGCTAGTAATGGTGCCAGGACTGTTACCTAGTTGACCAGAGAAGAAGGGGGTGAGATTGAGAGAGAAGAGGTAGATTAGAAAAGTAATTGTTATTGCTTAATTGGTTCAAAACAGTCCTGGATACATATAGGCCGCCGACCCCCTTGCTTCTAATGCCAGCCTTAACTTCTAACATCTCAACTATTTCTTAATTGCCTTAATGACTAAAGCGCTTAGGGCAGTCTCAATGGTGCATTGATGATGGTTTCTATCCTCATTAAATGACTTGTCACGTAGGCAAAACGCTGACATGGCAACGTAATTAATGAAGAAAGAGAGCAAAAATCATAGAAATGGTTTCTTCATGAAGAAATCAGGTCTATTCTTGACCCAATGCACCAAGAAACCATAAAATCGCTATTAGGGAGAAACCACCAGTTTCTATGGAGCTCGTGTCGCACTCCCATTGGAGGAAGAAGATAGAGTTGAGAGAGAGAAAGAGAAAATAATTATTACTCATAGAAACCACGGGTTAGAAAGCAGTACTTTTTTTTAGTACGGCATCCTATGTTATAGAAACTACTAGCTTCTTTCATTGGGACTGCCCTTAATCAACTAGGCCACCTCGGGCTGCTGCAGGCCATGCGCGCCTTTGGAGGCTGCCCTGGATGCTCCTCATGTCCGAGGCCGACGGCTGTAGTGTCGGCCCCACATGACATCCCATTGGAGGTGAGAACACATTTACAATAATAAAGTAATTGAATCACTACATCAATGTGCATAGGTCTAACATATACACACTTATGCGTACAACGTATTCGCATCAGAGTAAACAAACTCGAGTCTATTTAGCATATATGTCCACTCCTTATTTTTCTGCACCTATGCATAGATTTTGACATTGAAGAAGCAACAATTATCTTTACATTATCATGAACGCAGATATTTCAGTTCAAATGCCTAGAGTAGGATGAAAAAGGAAGGGGGAACGTATAAATGAACAGCACCAGTCATTTAGTCCTGGTCCTGCAGAAGCCCGAATCAGCAGGCTGATCTTCGGCTCGTCATGACCTCAGTGTCCATCAGGAGTATGGTTCAAAGCAGGTTTCTTATGATGGTTATTGAGTTGATTCTCCATGTCTCGCTTAAGTGTGTTGTCAAGGGAACCCAAATACCTCACCTCCTTGAGTTTTCCTACAGAGAGATTCTTTAGCTCAGCGAACTTCAACACCGACCCAATACGGCATGTACCTATCAGAAGCTCAAGATTTTCCATTGCATGTGATCCGAAGGTGACAGTTAAATTGGAGCTGCAAGAAATCTCGAGGATCTTAACCATTCTGTAACAGCGATCATGCACGCCAGCCACCAAGAAACGAAAATCAAGATTACCGTCACCATCTTGAAGCGGTTTGGCACAGAGACGCAGAATACACAGTTCTTTAATTTCCCCAAGGACTCTAAGGACATTATTTACTTCATCTTGTACAGACATGGTTACCTCCAGTTCCAACTTTGTGAGCTTGGGAAGAACATTGATCCATGCTGGCACTGATGTTAGGGGACCATATAGCTTAAGGCTCTGAAGTTTTTCGAGAGGCTTCGCCTGAGTTGGGAACATGTCCTCCGAAAAATGTTGATTATTGCCCATGCTGAGCCACACTGACAAGGATTCAAAATGAACATGGTCTGAGATGGCAGAACAGAAGTCATTGCTGTTTTTCTTGTTGACGCCAGTCACTTCGAGCTTGTGCAATTGGGTGAGCTTCTTGAGCTCTTTCAGGATGGCCTTGCCCCCTGAAAAACCAATGTTAACAGCACCAAGAGTGTGCAAGGCTGTAAGTTTCTCAATCCCTGCAGGCACCTCAACACCACCTACAGGACAACCTCTGCAGCAGCTAGGCAACCAAGACAAATGAGAACATGGTACTGATGCTTCCTTACCTTTGCCAGCACGGATGTACTGCAGCTTGGTAAGCTTGGTAATGGATGGCGGCAAAGTGGCTATGGAGGTGCCCCTGACATCCAGAGTTTCAAGCTGCCTCAGCCCAGCAAATGAACTTGGCAGACAGCAGATCTCTCTTCTTCCTCTAAGAGAGAGGAACTTGAGGCGAGGAAGCACCTTCAGCATCTGCCCGAGGTATTTATATGTCACCCCTTTTGCATTCTCGAGATCAAGCACCCGGAGCACCCTCATAGTTTCATTGATGAAGAAGGGCTTCCACTCTCCAAACACAGTGAGGGAGCGCAGCCTTGAGAAGTCAATACTACTGAACACAATCATGTCTCTGTCCCAGCTTTCCTTTATGACCAGGTGCCGTCCTGTGCGCTGACTGGTCAATGTGCACCTGCCCTCCAGTTCGAAGACAAGTTCCTCATCCTTTCGCCTTGATATGATGTACTCACGGAAGAAGCCGTTGACCTTGCACAAGACCATTCTTGTATCTGCAGTGGTGACTGAATGTGGTTCCTGCTGGATGATACTCAGATCAAGGAGCAGCGAGAAGAATTTCTCCCCATTGTCTTCAGCCGACAGGCTGGACGTGCCCCTTGAGTAACCCTCTGCGATCCACCGCCTCACTAGACGCCTCCGGCGAATGCTTTGGCCTTGCGGAAAAATTGACAGGTAGAGGATACATGGCTTGAGGTAATCTGGGCAAGTAAAGAAGTAGGAATGCATCCAACCAAATAGTCCACGCAAGTTATCAAATTCTGGTTTAGTCTCCATATCATGTATAAATCTGTCACTCAGATTGACCGCGCTGTTCATCCAGCTGACTGACATGGGTGCCAAAAAGTCGGATACAGCAACTACTAGTTTGGGAAGTCCACCACACTTTGAAATAAGTTTTCCCAACTCCGGGTCTTCAGAGTCTCTTAAAGCAGACGAATCTGGAAATATGTCTACCTATATTATTGAAAAAGAGTTACATCACTAGTATTAATGGTTCTTTCAATCACCAATTAGATTTAGTTTTAGCTAGTGCAGTTAGCTAGCAAATATAAAATCCATTCATTGAAAAAATGGAAACAATTACATGTGCATGTGGATATGTTTATTTTAACTTAAAATCTGTGGATTTCAGCTTCTTGTTGTTTGTTATAATCTGTCTAAGTTGTTATTTTTTTTTTTTTTAAAAATATTATGACAGATCTATATAGACTGTATGATTGTTAGTACTATGTTTATAAAATCAATACTACTACAGATATAATTTTCCAACTGAGTAAAAATTCTATATAAGTGGTCCTGGAATTACTGAGATTTTCATGATACCATTTGGATAATGAGTTCTGTTAAGTATTCTAAAGTACATTTTGTGAAGACTTGGATAAGTTGATTCCGTATCTTTAAGAAGTTGGAATTGAGCATATATAGAAAAAAACAAGAGTTTGGATAAAACTACTTTGATAAAAACCCCCATTTTTTCTGTTTTGCAAAACATAGTTCAGTCTCCTAGAGTTCAGGGGAGGGGGTAGGGGGGAGTACCAAGAGAAATCATAGAATGATTTTTTTTCATGTTTTGCGATAGCTTTTGCACAATCAAGATGTAAGTATCTGTTAAAATTAGATTTAACAAGACAGAGAATAGGCAAGTATCTTGCGAGAGAGAAAGCACACCTCCTTTTTGAAGAGATCACGTGCTTCATCGTCTTCTAGACTTTTGACATTGTACACGGCCTCTTCTCGATTTGCACAACAATGTGTGGCTATGCTTGCTTCTGTTGTAATCACAACGATAATGCTTCTAGAATGAGTAGATACCATGGAATCTCGTATTAGATCCCACTCTTCTGTGGATTGCAAACAATCTATGACGACAAGGCAGTGATGATTCTCCAGAAGCTCACGACACTCTTGAATGGGATTGCTGATTCCATTTTGCTGAGAAGAATCTGACTGAAGTTCTGAAAGTAAGCTCCAAGCAAAGGTTGCTAAATTGAACGGATGGTATACATCCACCCAACCGTACATGGTAAACAATTTGTTCCCTCTGTTGTCACGCATTATGCTGTAGTATAAGTTTCTGACAAGAGCTGATTTTCCAACACCAGCTATCCCCCACACAGATACCACTGCAAAACCCTTGACACGCGCCCTGGCTATATAGCCACGAAGATCATCCATCTGTGACTTGCGTACACCAACTAGGGGGAATCGTTCCATCCACATATCAGCATTGTTTTTTGAGGTGGGGACGCTGGTATACAAGGCGTAGCCACCCTTATGTCTGACTTCATTCATTGATGATGATGCCTCGTTGTGGTTGGGGATCACCATAGTGGTTTGCTTGCTTTTATCTAGGTTGTTGCCTTGTGAACCCTGCAAATACACAAAAATGAAGAAAAATACGTCATTAGCGCTTGAAGGCTTTCACTGATGAGCAACATAAGTAATTTGTTACTTGAGAACTACTAGTAGAACATTTTTAATCAAAGTACTTCCATATGGATTGGATAGTTTTTTTTTAGTTCTTTTTGGAACTTGGATGCAAAAGATTAGAATATATAATCAACGAAAAGGAAACCATAGATGTAGAAAACAACAAGAGAACAGGGATACTAAAGCCATTTTCTTTTTCTGAAAATTACTCTGTATATTGTGATTCAGCAGGGATTACCTCCTGGAAGAAGACACATACGGAGTGTTCAGCAGAGTTCTGTTTAAGCTCGAACATTTGCCATGGATCTCCCACACACAGCCTCGCCACTTCAGATTGCTGCGTAGAAATGATGATCCAACTGCCATTTTTGCTGTCAGGCAGGTAAGCTCTGACGGTGTCCCAATCTACCATGCTGGAGATGTTTTCCAGGACAATCAGGTACCTCTCCTGTTTCATTATCTTCATGAAGTCATGCACAAGTTCCCCTTCAGAGGCCGCCTCCAATCTCTGGAGGATATTAACATATTCGTCGGTCTCATTTTGTATGCAAGGCTGGAACTGAATCAGCAAACTCCGCTGGAACTCATGGGGACTGAAAGGATGCGTCAGCTTTGCCCAGCCACGGCATCCGAAGCTTGCACACATTTCTGGTTCCCCATAGGCCTCCCTGATGATGGGTGTGGTATCAGCAGCATTGCCACCTGCTGCCCACACCGAGATCACTCCAAGATCTCCACCAGGTTTCTTGGTGATCAGCAGCTTTGTCAGATCTCCTAATCCCCGCTGCATCTTTGTGGTATCTCTTGCTTTGTTGAGCATGGCAATCGTTGTGGTACCGGCAGAAGCACCAGCAGGCGCCAACTGTTGCTGCGTGACGGGCTTGGAACCTGAATCACTGATGAGGTTGTAGCGCATGTTCCGAAGGCTCACCTCCTCAACCCTGACCTTGAGCAGCTTTATCTCAGCGACCGCCTTGTCCAGCGGCAGCTGCGGCCTGATGAAGCGTGGGATGCAGCGGCAATACCAGTCTGGCGCCTTGTCAAGGTGGATCACATACTCGATGCAGTCCTCCACGTTGTAGGCGAGGTCACGGACCTGTCTCACCCAGGTCCTCACCACGCTGTTCCTGACGCGTTCCTCATCTGCGACATTGAGGAATGATTGCATCATCTGGAACTCACCGGTGATGAACGCCAGGTCGTTCTGCGTGCTCTGCCGCAGAGCTGCCTCCTCCTCGATCGCCGCCAGGGCCTTGGTCACAGCCCCCTCCACCACCGACTTGGCCAAGCTCACTGCAAGATCCGCCATTGCTTCTCCCCTGCCTATCTCTCCTAGATACTCCAGCTTGTTTGTCTGTGGCTGCACGCTGCAGCTGGTGATTGGTGATGCTAATGCTCGGAGGAATCATGCAACATCCACGCACCTAGAGATGGGAACAGATGGGGGATATCAGCTAGGCAAGAACATAGTCAACTGGGAGTTTGGGACATTGCAAAGCAAGTCTTGCCTGGCCAGATCCGTGAGCTGAGATGGTTCTCTGATATGTCTACTTAGCCATTGACTAGCTAAACACAGTCGCCCCCCTTGAGCCCTTCAACTTTCAGTTTCACATATGTGCAGTGGTGTTTCTGCAACTAGGCTAGCCATGAACATTCGATCTATGTTACTTAGCCGTTGACTAGAAAAACTTACATAGCTTGTTCGGTTGGCTGGTTCGTATCGTTGCTGATTCATGAAGAAGAACTACTGACTAGTTTGTGTGAGAGAAAAATACTATTCTGGCTAGAAATTTATGATCGTTTACGACAAGCCACATCGAAACGAACAGGCTATGTAAGTTTTTCTAGTCAATTTTGCTTAATGAAAATAGTCTACAAACCTTAACTGAATTTCAACTCTGCAGTTTCAAAGTAACCATCTTCCAAACTCCAGATCTTCAAAACTATTGATATTTTGATGATGATCCTTTAAGGGATATTGGAGATCACTGATCAATGAGCAATGTTTCTTAAGGTTGATCATCAGGTCGTTTTGCAAAATCTTGAGATCAAGAGAGGGGAAGGGGGCGGGTTCAGTCTTCTGAATGGGCAGGGCTTCATCACAGGGGAGCAGTGAGCCAGCCTGCTTGCCGCCGACGGCCACCGCCCCCGCTTACCGCCTTAGTGCGCGCAGGGCACGCAGCTGTTTCCGTGGCACAGCGCAAGCAGCTCCGAGATCGTCTAGACGCCTCGTCCTCGCCTTTAAGCACCCAAGCCGCCGGCCGTCTCCCCCCTTCTTCTTCCCCTGCTCACCGCCGAACTCCTCGGTTCGTCGGTCAATTCACCGCCATCAATCCGCCACCGCCTAATTCCTCTTGCCCGCAGAGTTGCCTCGCTCTTTCGCGTCACCTAAGCCCATTCGCCTCGCCACTCGCCGCCGCTCTCTCTTTCGGCGCCGGTTGCCGCCGCGTCCGAGCCGCCATGGTCGCCGCAACCACCTCACCGTGGCCAGCGTGCCTCGCTGCATACCTCTCCCTCATATATAGTGTTTTGAGCTCCGTATACTACCACGATACTCATCGGCTCCTTGTTTTTAACTCTACCGCAGAGGACGCGCCGGAATGCGAGCTCGCCGCCGGGTTCACGCCACCGCGCTCGTCCTCACCACCAGCAGCCATGACCGAGCCACCTCCATTTCAACCACCAAGGCCAGCAAGTCATGGTGAGAACCGTAGAGCTATACCGGAGCTTAGATAGGCCGATTAGGGCCGGTAGCGGCCGGAGCTGCGTCGCGCCGGCGTGCCAAGCACCACCATGCCGCCATGGCCATCGCTGAGCTCGAGCTAGTCCTAAATCCGTTCAACCGGTAGAGTCAGAGTGTTCGCGTGAGCATGGGGAGCGTTTCGGTGGCCTCACCGTCGCGGGTGACCTCGCCGTCGGCAAGGTCTGCCGCGCCGTGCGCCGTCGGTCTGCCGTGGCTGCGGCTGCGCACGCCCCGTGCTCTAATCTGTTCGTTCGATAGCATGGCTGTGTGCAGGGGAGGGTGGGGAACACGCCAGTGTAGTCCGCGCCGCCGGAGACCTCACCGGCGGTGAGCTCCGCCGTTTACCCGCCGGCGCGGTCGTGGTCAAGGCCGGGCAGGTTCGGTTTGAACACGGGACCCGCACGTCAGTGGCGGTGGGTAATTGTGAGGTCGGTGAGAAAAGAATTTTTGCTCAGGAAAATGATTTGATCTTTTTCAGAATATGTAAAAATGTGCTGATTCTTGTTTAATTAATAACTAAATAATTAGAGCTGATCCAATTATAAATTTTTTTGCATAGCCTTGTTATGATATGCTTAATCATGGAAAATTATGATTTGACCATTTTCAGTAGTTTTTATATGTTTAAAAATTAACTCTTTTAATTAATAAATGGACCTTGCATGATTTTTATAAATAAAAATATAAATCCTTTAATCATGAAACTTTTTGTGTAAATGTTATGTACTTATTCCTGCCTTCACAAAAAGTTTGGTACTGTTTTGATAACTATAAATTAGTTAATTAATTTAAGTGTGTTTAAATGCCTTTTCTTTAATTAAATAAATACCCAAAATGATTTATATAAATCCTAAAATGACTTTGGTGTATTTTGGAGTTGATTATAGACCTTGGAACACTACTCTCTTTGCTGTTCCTTGGCAACTTAATCATTTTCATGTTATGCTTATAATTAACTTGTTAGTTAATAAATAAAGTAGTTTACTCAAATGACTAATTAGTCAATGCATGTAATTAGGTCATGTAATGATCCTTTCTTATCCTCATGGTTGAACTTGTGTAATGTTAGTTAAATACCTTACCTTGTTTGACTAGTATAATGTGATAAGTGTTGCTTTCTTAATAACCACATGGTAAACTTGTTTCTATAATAAATAAAATGGCTTAATTAAATAGTTATTTTTATGAGTTTTTAATAATGATCATGAGTTAAGATGAATGCTAAACACTTCTTGCTGGTTCATGTTAAGTTAATCCTTTCATGATAACAACTAAATTAACTTGTTAGTTAATTAACTACAATGCTTTTATAATAAACAAACCCTAGTTCCTTAGTGAAGGAAAGTTGTACTCAACTTTCTTAACTTTGTTTAACTTCTGTCATGCACTTGAATGTCTCTCATCCTGCATCAATGCATGTAGTCTATCATGTTAAGCAAAGCATCATTTATTACGTGTAGTGTACGAGAGTGAGAAGATTCGTGTTGATCAAGTTTTGGAGAAGGTCCATCCACCATGGTGTTGGTGCCAATTATGATTTCTGGTTCTTCTATGGAAACTAACCTTCTCTGCAACGCAGGCAAGCCCCAGAGCATAAACCCTTCTCTAGTCTTTACAAATCTTTATTACACATTAAGTCTTGTGAAATGTGCATTAAGTAATTAGGAGTTGGTCGAATACCATTGTTGCATGATTACCTTGATATTTAGGTATCCTTAGTCGTACCCTGCTAGTATGTGTAGGTCAACACCTCTAGTGCTTAGCCATGCTTAGCCGATAAGAGTTGAGTGGTGACTTCATCATTCGCAATGGTTCTATACTCAGGAAATATACTGAGGGTTCAATAATGAATATGGATGAACAGGAGACCGAACGGGACATGGGAATTGTCTTTGGTGGTTAAGCCGACAGGGTTGCCTGGTCGTGCTTGTTCCATGTGTGTCGATTAAGGACCGTTTGTTGTAGGCTTGTGTGTGGTTGAGACTTTGCAGTACAGGCCACATACTCTGGTAAGCCTGATACCTTGGCTATTCTATTATGAGAACGGACAACCGCGCATTGGGAGTGGAGAGATGGTGAGAGTAGCATGTACACATCCTGTGAATCCATCACGACCGAACGACGCAGGGAGGAGGTGGAGTACTGTGGTCTCGGGTAGCGCAGGACTCATTCACATTTTGGAGGATCTGAGTGAAGGTCGATATATGTAGGTCTACGACCTGCATATGTCGTGTGGTAAGGAAACCCCAGCTGGACCTAATCAATTTGAATCGTCGTGCTCCTCGATTATGGAGACTCGACCCTCTGACCATACATTGTAGTTAATAAATGGAACATGGTTACTTATGGATAAGAGATGAACATGGGATGAGATGATTAATGAAGTGATTGATTTAGATCAGGTGCAAACTGGATACTGATAATGAAGTAATACCCAGCTAAAACAATGAAAGTAAGGATCCACTAGTAGTAAGCTTTTCTGCAAAAGTTACTCTTGCTTCCAACTTTCCTTTAAGCCTGCATGTCCTTGGACTCTTTTCTTTTTGTCGGGTAAGACTTGTTGAGTACCCTCAAGTACTCTAGGTTTGTTAACCCCTGTTGCAGGTTTGGACTTGTGCTGCTAATTGAGGTCATGTCGATGGGCTCGACATGATCTGGCTATCTCTCATACCTTAGATGCTTTACCTAAGTCGCTTCTACAACACTACTCGCCATTTGAATTTAAGCTAAGTTTGACTTGAACATATTTTGTGAACTAATGTTATAATTCTCCCGCACTCTGATATAAGTTATTTTTGTACCAACTGTTGTAATGTTGTGGCAACTCCATGTTCATCCTATATGAGTTGTAAAATATGGATGATTCGGGGTTCCCTAAGAAGTTATCTGGCTCTCGGGTGCAGCAGTCAGAGGTCTTTAGGACAATGACAGGTGTATGTGGGCCATATAATTTGGGTGATTCTGTCATAGCTGGTGATGAGATCCTAATATACAGGTATGTTAAGCCTCGGGTCCAATGGTTTCTGAATGAAGAAGAACCCCCGGCCGACCCCTTCAGGATCGCTCGGGGGCTCGAGGGCTATGCCCATCGGGCACACTCACGGGCACCCTCTGGCAAAGAGATCCGACCAAGCCTGACTCGACTGCAGCTTCCGCCTAGGGCTCAGGGGCTTCCCTGAGCCTTGGGCTCCCGATCTACGGCACGACCAAGACCGGTCCTTGGCTCCTGCCAGGCTTACGACAGACTACCGGAGTTATCTAGCTCTCGTGTGCAGCAGTCAAAGGTCTTTAGGACAATGATAGGTGCACGTGGGCCATATAATTTGGGTGGTTCTGCCACAAAGAACGTCACTATAAACAATCGTTTAAGTAGAGCTACATTGTTGTATTGGGCCATCACCAAATAACTTCTCTTATTTCTTCTACATTCATTAAAATTTGTTAACCTCTCTTCTTTGTAATAGATAAAATAGCATTGCAACTTGAAGAGTCACTGATTTGGTGATTTTTTTGATAAAGGAAAGCTTTTATTAATTCACAATCATTACATTGAAAATAATCATGAA